AAAATGATTTCAGATTTTGAATACTTTTGAGTACTTGAGGGATTTAAGATTGTTAATGAACTTATATGCATACCTATCAAAAACGCATTTAACGTTCATCAGCAATAAGTTCTTGATCTTTCATTTCTAGATTTTATAAAATGAATGGCTGTTAACAAACTTCATGTTGCGATAATAATTTTAAAAAATGACAAGAAAACAAGTAAAAAACTTATATTTAATTGCGAAGAATTTTTTTTTTTTTCCCCCAGAAAAGCAAATGAAAATGTCACATTCTTCAATATTGGGTGGGCTTGGGTAAATTTTTGATAGTCGTGTAGGCATTATACGATACTCCGTAGAACATAGAAGGAAAGGAAAAAAAAATTGTTATTTATTTTTTTTTTTTTTGCTGTTAAAAGCAAATGTCTTGTCTTATCCTGCACTCTAGGGATATCCGAGAGCTTCCAGTATTTTTACCAAATTTGCAGAAGATGTATTAATTTTTGCAACCGTAATAATGTTCAACATAGACATTTGCACAGACAGGCAGCTAGATCGAATCAGAAGTTAATATTGTCCAGGAATATATATAAACTTTATAGACTCTTTGAGACCTTCCTCTGGATTCCTTGCAAGCTATTTTGACAAAGTGAATTTACCCCTACCTACTGATCGATCATTCCAACTGCCTCTCTTCTAATATAGAAATCGCAAGTAAATATAGAAGAGAATGTAAACATGTTGACGGGATTGATTTTAGTAAAAGCGCTCCTCCTACCCGTTTAAGTAAATCTACAATGATTGTTAAGTCGCTCTAAGCGAATTTGTAGGAAACCGAACTGTACTCTTAACCTATCCTAACTTTGGAACTCCCAGGAGAAAGGCAATAGTTTAACGTTAAGAGTAATTTATGTATGAAAAGAGAATCAATGTCGTGTTGTTTTTTAAAACGTATACTTATTTATTTTTATAATTTATTTAACCCAAAGAAATAAAGTAAACTGAAATGACCATTAGCAATTCGATAGTAAATATAAAATTTTTATAGAAAAATTTCACAAAAAAAAAAAAAAAAAAAGGAACGGAAAGTAAGTCCTATTGATTCAGTCTTCAATCTATGTTGACAGCTGTGCGCGCTTTCAATAAATCCTAGAGAGTGAACTACAAATTAGCGGCAATGTGTGAGTGTATTTATAAGCGATTACTACGTGTTTACTTTATGTTTGTCAATTTATTGCGAACGGATTGTCCGTCTGTCTGGTATAGCTCATCTATCAATCGAAATATATGTATATATATATATATATATGTGAAGTGTTTTAACTTAACATTCAGACTTTTGTATCAATTTACAAATTTTAATTGTCGTGTTCTACAATATGTTCTGTCTATACTGTTTCACCGGGCCGGTAGACGTTCAAAAAACAATTCCGACATTGCAATGACGACTTGATGACGTTGACGCTGATCATGATGTGTTTGTTGGCTAGAGTTTCCCATAATCGTCATCATCATCATCATCATCATCATCATCATCATCATCGAAAACTTAACAAAAACAATAAGCGATTGGAACAAAAAAAATTCACAATAGTATGTACAAATATACATATACATATATATACAATGTATGTAGCAAACAATTCGCAATTCGTCAAGTTAATCGTCGAAGCGTCAATGCAACATCTGATAATTATTTCAATTCCAATTTGCAATTGCAATAACATGCATAAGGAACGCACTTTTCGTACCATGCGCCCCGACACAGACGATACATCGTTCAAACACATTTTCCGCTCGCTCGCTTGCTCGCTCCCTCTCTCTCTCTCGAGCGCGCGCGCGCGAGTTCTCTTTCTTTTGTTTTTCGTCTCCCATCTTGGGGGTTTTAATATAAAAGCTTTTTATATACATCTATTTACACATACACATTAATACATTCAACTACATACGCGTACATTGTTATTTAATCATTTGAAAACCGTATGGCATTGTTTTTAGAAGTGCCTAACTATGTATGATGCGACACTAGGCATGCGCTTTAGGATTTTTCCTTTTTTTCTATACCATTCCTGAGCATGCGTGCGTGTGTGTGTGTGTGTATTTTTTTTTTTTTTTTTTCATTTTTTATTATTTAAGTTGACGTTGTTATTCGTTACCTCTATAAGGCTTGTAGTTGGCACATTTGATGTTTTTGATGTTGTTGCGCCTCTGTTATTGCAATCATCATCTATATATCGCTTAAGGTTTTCATATTTCACTCGTGTAAAGTTTATTTTCCACCGGTATATATATTTATATATATATATATACCCGTGTGTCTGTGTTTGTGTCTGTCTGTCTGTCTGTCTCTCTCTCTCTCTCTCTCTCTTTCCCTCCCTACGTGTGTGTGTATGTGTTTCCACGTTTTTTGTATCTTTGCGAGAGTTTGAAATGTTCTTAGAATCTTTGCAATTTCTATGATGTTTATGTTGCTAGATATGCGCACATTGGTATGTTTGTATATATTTGTATGTTCGTATTCATTTTATTGCCGTCTTCTTTGCTAGATTGTTAGTTTGGTTGGTTTGCTTACAACTAACTGACTGGATGACTGGATGGACGGTTGGATGGATGGGTGGATGGATGGACGGATGGATGGATAAATGGATGGGTAGTTGGTTGGTTGTGCAAATAGAAACAATCAATGGGCTGGTTGTTGGTGGCGGCTACAATCATGTTGATCATGGTGGTGACGACGCAACTTTTGATGATCATCTTTACACAACTTACAAATATTTCGTATTCTTCGTCATTCTTGACGTTTTTCTTTTTTTGCAATGATCAACGACCAACGCTCATGTACAATAGAAGCAACAACTACAACAACAATAACAATAAGAACAGCAGCACGTTAGCAAACACTAAGCAATCAAACATTCATCTACGAAATATCTAGTGGACAACTACAACCAAAGCTAAACAAGAAAGCAATAATAATGACGATGATGACGACGATGACGGCAATGACATGAATGTACGTATGAGCGAGAGATGTCATTGCTAAAGTTCTATTTTGTTGTTGCTGGCGATTATTGCTGGTCCTTTGCTACTACCATCCAATCCATACTATTGTCACATAGCTTAATTGTGTGCTTGTTGCATATAAATATGTGTATAAGGCTGTGTGTATTTATATATGCATTTTTAGGCATTTGATGTGTTGGTAGGTCGTCTCATCAAACATTTTTATCGGTAATCTTTTGTTTGCCCACTTTCAGCGTCAACGCCAGTTCAGTTGCGAAGCGAATATAAAAGATGCTCATTTATTTCCCTCTCTTTTATAATAAATTTTCTATATAATAATTGTGCAGCTTTTCTTTTTATTCCGCGTCTCTCCGTTCATGATTTTCATGCCTAGTCGCTTACATTGCGTCTATGTTTGAATATATTAAAATCCGCGCATGTGTTAGGGCAATAATACCTTTCTGCGCATATGTCGCATTTTAACCATGAAGATATATAAATTATATAGAATTTTTTCTTACGCAAAAGTTTCGCTTCCAAATGGTATCGTAGGAGTGTATCTCTGTAAAATTCAAAGTTAATTTTTTTATGTATATATGTTCGTTTTCCTCTGTTAGTTGATGGCATTCTGAAAAAGTCTTAGAGACTGAGACAGCAAAGCTCTCAAGCTGGGAAATTCCGGCAACAATATCGAAAAAGATAGCGCCCACAACCAAGCTGATCGTAAAAAGACTATAAACTGATAATAAACTAAAGCTCTCAAGGCCAAAGCACTCAAGAATATTTGCAAGGTACATCTTAAAGCTTAAAACGAAACTGATTCTAATCGTTTTTTATTTTGCTTGTGATTAGGAGTAAATTGCTAATGTGTTTTGCACTAGAGGTAAGCAATTTGAGAGAGACAATTTCAATAGGGATTTAAGCTAAACATTTGCAAAAACACATCTTGCAATTTTCTTAAATTCGAAAAATTTCAGCAATTTATTCCTAAACTTTTTTTAAAATCTTATCTACAGCAAAGTTTTTTCGGTTTTCTTGCTTACCTTTGGTGTCTGACAATTGTTGGAAGTTTCTGGTAACTCATGCATATATTGTTCCATCATGATATCTTCATCGCCGACACCATATATGGATAAGGGTGTAGAGGGAGCAGATGCGACATTTTTCAAACTCGTTAAACTAGCAATACCCGAAGAATTTTTAATTGTTTTGTTTTTGCTAGCGCTTAATACATTTTTATCGCGTTTTGCTTGCAAGACTTTCCGTTCAAATTCATGCAAATTTTCGATAGTTGGCTCATCACCATTCAAATTGGAAACACTAAACGCCAGCCATTGTTCAACAAATTCTGAAGCATCGTCTACATTGTAGATTACACAAAGTTCAACGGCTATGTAAAAAAAGTTGAAAAATGCCGCGAATAATTTAATAAATTCCAAAAGAAAAACTGCATTCCGGTAACTCACCTTTACCCAATACACTTTCGGATGGCTCAATGCTCATTTCCTCAAATTGTTGTTTTAATTCACTTTCCATTATTATTAACAAAGGATAAATATTATTCCGATACCTTAAAAAAATTTCTTCGCTACAATTATAAGCTATTCTATGAATTCACAAATTCCACTTAAATTTGCACTGTTCTTGCTAAATTTTATAACACAAACGTCAACAAATGGCGCGTAAATGTTAGAAACGCTGCCAGTTTTGTAAAGTATTTTAGAGTTGCCGTCCTATTTTAATAAAATTTCTTCTTTATAAAGCAAAAGAATTAAATTCAAAAAGATTATTATTATACAAATCTAATTAACTGGAAAACAAATTATAATGTTTTTTTGTTGATAACTTTTAAAATACGCTTTAATTAAAGACATATTTTCAAGTTAATACTAACATGAGCTATCGCTCCAATCTGAGTGTGGAAAAAACAAAGTTTAAAAGCTGTAGACATATTTCCATCAAACATCTGTTTTGAAGCTGAATAGCTAACAAGACTAACAAAGGCTAACAAGACTAAAAAAAGTAAACAAAGTTTTCAATTTGGAAATATACATTAAGCAATGGTAAAAATAGTAATTTGAATTAATTATGGTACGAGCCAGCAAATGTAATTAAAGACGAAGGGCATCCATTCCAGCCATCAACCGCTAGACGATTCTATTAGTCCTTCATGTCAAGGGGGACATGTCAACGCTTTAGCTTTAAATAATGATTGCAATCAAATGTTATTTGTTTACCTTTGGAAAAGAAGCTGGGAATGTTTTTGTTGCAAAAAGCGTAAGAATTATGATAATTTTGCTTTTAAATGCTTTCTTGATAACGTATTGCGTGGAATTGCTTGAGGCAAAGACAAAGATGTGGGCGTTAAATGTGAACGACATTTTTAAATGGAACTAAGCGCAAATGTTTTAGAAGTGTCTGTAATGTTTGGGATTGTAAAATTCAGCATTTATATTCCAAATTGACAGATAAGTCGAAGCCAATCAACTAATCGAAATGCAGTACATAAGCGTTCAGGTTTTTTTTTGTAGACAGTTGTTGTAGCATAATTGAATTTAGAAAATATAAAGTAATAATAAAAAAATGGTAATTGGGCCTTTTCCAGTAGTAAAATTAGCATGGTTAGCTATAAGACAAGTCAGTGAGCCTATCGCACGACTAATTAAGGATGAGGCCAGGCGAAATCCATTCTTTCGCAACAATATTTGTATGCCGCCAGCCCAAGGTAAGTATCATTGAAATTTTGGTTTCCAAAACTTTCTAAAAACGTAATGCGTGCAAACATTAGTTTACCATTGGGTTGAGGTAAACATGAAGATGTGGGGTGTAAATTTAGGACGGCCGGTACAAGTTCCACCTTTGGACGAAGCCACAGCTATAGATTTGGGTGCAAAAGTTTTAGGAGAACTTTTCATTTTTGCCGTTGGTGCCCTAGCATTACTATACGAGCATATCCGGTAAGTCGAAACATGTTAAAGAGTTGAAGTGCATAAGAATTGCGGTCATTTTAGACAATTAAAAAAGGAAGCTAGAAGAGAAAAAAATCTGGAATTGGAAAAGGTCGAGCTGAGGAATCGTGTGGCCGAATTAAATTTTCGCGTAGAACAAAAAAAAGCTCAATTGAGCGAAATAAGCGGAATATTAGTGGAATTAGGTGAGTATTTTTTTTAAGCATTCTTTGTCATCTTACCCCTTGACCGAATAATTCCTTTATTTACTTAAAAAAAGTGTTAAAACCAAAGGGAATTAACAGCTTCGAAGGCCTAGAAGCAGTACAAACTGAGTACAAAAAGCAAGACAATAAATTAAAGAAAAAATGAGCTGCAATTAAAGTTTATTTTTAAAATCAAAAAGAAAAAGTGTACAATTTCTCAATTTACTGCTTTTGCCATGAAATGAAGAAGAAGGAGGCAAGTCGGATTAAAAGAGCTGTGAACTATTTAGAAATTGAGGTATTTGAAAGTAAATCAACGGGAGGCACAACAGCAGCCGCACCAGAAGTTTGTGCAACCGCTTAGGGGGTCTATAGAGGATTACGATTTCATCATGATTACAATAAAGAGATATTATGCACGTTTTGCGTTTATGTAAACATTTTTGGTCGTTTTTGGTTGCCCGTAACCGGTCAACGTTAAGATTTTGCATATTTCGTAAGGAAGATTAAAACTTTATACTTTTCGTTGACTAGGGAGCGCGATTGGAGTCTTGAGTAGCCTTCGTTTTGAATCAATCAGTAGAGTATACAGATATAGCTAGCTGTCCTAACTCCTAAGCACCATTTGTAATCTTTGCAAATATTATAGATATTTTAATACTGGATTGCGTTGGCTTGTCTAAATGGTTTTCTAAACAACCTTTTCTGCCTTTATTAAATTGGGTTTTTTTAGAAATGTTCACAACCAAATTTTCTCCGACGTTTGACTGTTAAGATCGTTTCCAAGTTTGCGGCAAAAGCTTTTTAGTTTTTCTATCGACCGTCGCAATTTTTTTTAGGAATAAACTGGAATAGTATTGCGCGTTCAAATACGGGATTGATCCTTTTCGCAATATTGTACAAATCCTTGGTTGTTCTCGCTAGTCCGAGATTAAAGCAAAGCAAAATGCGACAACTGTAAGTGGAAAAAAGTGATCTATGCATGGCTGAAGTTATTAAAAAAAAAATGTCCTTGAAAATATTTAAAAAGTAATAAAGAGAACTTGTTGCGGAAGCGCTCTATGAAAATTTTTAGGAAATGTTATGAAAGCCTCACTATTACGCTGAGTTGAATAAAATGTTAGTAGCTTGTTGATTTATTTGCATCAACAAAAGTAAACGTTTTTGAAATAAGCAAGAAGACGGGGTATCTTGCAAATACTTTACTGCTCAATTAGAAGTTTTTAATTGTTTTTTGTTAAATTTTACTTTTGTTATTTGAAGAATTCTTTTTTTTTAATGCCGGTTCATATGTTGAGAGCTATTGAACGTGAAAAATTCCTTATTTGCCGAAGTTTGCAGCGAAGTGTTCTAATAGAGACAAGATATTAGTTTTCAGAAAAACCTGAACACAGTCGCCATGCCGACCTTTGGTTTCATATATTTTCGCGAAGGGGCATCCTTTGAAGAACCGTAGCGCTTTATATAAGAAAAACAATTAAATGGTGTTGACTACTTAATATAACTTCCCATAAGCCATTCCCTCCGCCCCAGAAAGGATTACTATAGGTTGTACTACATCCTTTTGAAACTTTTCATCCACATGAAAGGGCGGTAATTGCACTCCCCAAATAAATACGCGCAAGGCTTTGCGTTTTATGTATATTGTGACAAATTTTGTTGAAAAATATATATAAAAAGATAGGAAATTTAAGACAAATCAAAAATCAAAGGGATTAAAACAAATGCATTTAACTTATTATCAATTTTTTTTTTTTGTAAAAATTTCTTAGATAAACAAAAAGCTTAGAAAGCAAAATTAAAAAAAAAATAAAACTACATTACGCGAAACTTCTTAAGTATCCTGGTAATTTCTAAAGCTGGACAAAATTCGTAAATTCTCAGCATCCTCGATAATATCGGGCAGATAATCGCCGTAAATTGTAGTAATTTTATACAAACTACGTTTTACGGCACTCTTCAAAGCAATTAAATTTTGATCCCACTTTTTTCCATTTAAATTAACATTATTCAGTTTATCAGATTCCTGTTTCAGTCTCAAGAGAGTGTTAATTATTTCCGGTAGAGTGATTTGTACTACGCCGTGTTTATCCTCTTTAAAGGACGATGCACAGATCCCTGCTAAGCCTTGACATATCCAAATTATAATTTGTGAATTCGATAGAATAAAGGCAGCCTTTGCACCTTCCGGTTCACAAAACATATAAAAAAATCCTGGTGTTCTACGAAGTGTGGTATGTAAAGTCGTGTGAAGTTGTTTATACTTATTATCAAAATATTCTTTAATACGTTGTGCTGTTGGCAGCGGTTTAGGACAAGTTAAAGTCGTGACAGCCGGTGCATCAGGTACCATTTTTCTAATGCCGTAGATAACATTATATTGACGTAGTAAAAGTTTTTCCGCCGCTATCGTAGCGCTTGTTTGGGCTTTAGATATAAATTCGGCATTCTTCAGGGTTGATATGCTTTTAATAGATTGAGACAAATCTTCAATGAATTCGTTCATTATGGCCAAGCATTGGGCAGACAAATTATTCCAATTCGTAGGATAGCCACCTGCAAATGAAGCATAATTAATTAACTAAGTACCATCAGAAAATACATATCTAATTCTTTTTAACTTACCGGGTATAGATAAATTATAGATAGCGGAACGTTTACTAATCATCGAGCTATTGCCCATTGTTTGCAATTGTAACGCGCCCAGTTTTTGTATAATGGGTACTTGAGTCGTGGCCAGAGCTTCTACCAGCGTCACATCCTTATCCGCTTTAGTCTCTAAATTTGGACAAACTAACTGGGCTTTTTCAATAACGAACTCCATTTCTTGCGTTAAAAAGATTGAGAACAATTTTTGCATCAATTGCATATTACTGAGGATTTGTGATGATAGTATCCAAGCATAAAATAGTAGACGCAAATTGGTAACAGTAGAAAAGAATGAAATGTAATTTTCTTCCAAATCCATTCCAAATAAAAGAGCTAAACGTTCATTACCGTAATGACCCAAAAGCCAATAAATGAAAGTGTAATAAAGGCAGGGCATAAACGATTTGAGCAAAGATTTATATAGTATCGAGTGCAGAGCACATAAACGAACTATGGAAGCCTGCTGGATGTTGGGAAATTCTGCTTCCGGTTCTTGTTTTAAATTCGCTTTACAGAAATGATAAAAACCTGATGAAATGCCAATGCCAGTAAGGAACGTGTAATAAGGATTCAAACACCTTTGACCGTAACATTCGTACGTAAGAGATCTACAGTAAGATGCAATTTAGAAAGGAAAAACAAATTGAGTAGCAATGACTCACCTGTAATCTTCATGGAGAAATTGTGTATACGTACACGCAGTGAGCAGTCCCATTACTATATGTATCCCAAGAAAAGACAGTTTTCTTGGAAATGTTTTCACTAACCATACGAAACGAGAGGCATAGTAACGTTTAATCGCTAAATGAGATTTTCCCAATAAAATTGCGTAAATAAGAATTGACGCTATAAGCGGCGTTATTACCACCCAAGTATAAAAAGAAAATATCAAGCTGGATGTCTCCTTTAGCCAACGCATCGGGTGCAACGCGTTAAAGTTGACAAATAACAAGAAAACTGCTAATAATAAATATTGCATGAAAACGCTCAACACCAACGCAATTAAACATCGCGACAATAACAACATTTTGCACTTGGATTCAGTTGTCTTCATTGTAAATCCGCAAATTCCAGAGGATAAAAGAAATCAAATACCGGTTTTTTTTAGGTTAGACTACGAGTTACAATTTTATAAATGTAAGTCAACGCTTCGATAATAAAGGAACTGTGATCGTTAATTGTTCGTATATAAAATTAGTGTACGATTTAATTTATTTAATATTGTTTAACGTTTTGCTCAAACATTTGCCGATGGTTTAAGCGCGTTTTTTTCACTTTTTTAAAACAACACCTGTTTTCTTTATAAGAATGCAGCCAAGTTAAATTTCAACATGCAGGGTGACTCATCCTATATTATATCGGTTATTGAACAGTAGATTATATAAATAATACTTTTAATTCTTGTGTTTTATTAAAGACAAATAAGAATTTATAATCATTAATGAAATAATATTAAAACTTATCGATAATGATCGATAATTAACCTAAATTCATTTTTATTCATAGCCATTATCTAATTATAATGCGTCAAAAACTTTTATCAAGCAGATTTTGATCAAAGATATAGTTACCCAGTAAATACAACAACTCAGTAAAACCTATGTTGTTTATTTGCTGGCTTGGAGAATAAGAAGAGCAAATACAACAAATTTGTGGACGCCGCAGTTTTCTATTTTATTTCACTACATTATTGGATTTCTTCATATTTTATAATTACATCAAGCATATATATCTTATTTGCGTCACAGAACTTTGTTTCCAGTCATTTTATTTTTCCTCAGTCACTTGAAATTCGGGAACATTTAATTTCTACAAATTGGTTTTAAAAACGCTAGAAGAATGAGATATTAAAATAAACAAAGAAAACAAGCACTTTCGTAAGCCTTCTTCCTTTTCCAAGCCTTTTCGATCGGCATCATCAAGGCTGTAAATCTGCAGTTAACTAAAATAAGTCGTAAATGTCGATAAAGGATCAAAGTTCAGCCATACAACCAATCATTAATCAAATGTTTAAAATGCAATTATTTTCTTTAATTCGTATGCGCTCTGGGCATGCGCAAAACCCATTCATGTAAGAAGACTTTTTTAAAATCATATTGTCAGCAAAAATATTGTTTTTTATTACTTTGTGTCTATATAAATAATTAATTGCAATCACAATAAATCCGAAGAAGAAAATAACGAATTGCTTATAAACATAGTTGCTTAAATAAGTTTTGAAATTTTCTACTACTTATTTGCAGCAACGTTGCATATTTGCTGTAGTCACTTCTGCAAAATTATTGTAAAATTTAGTTTGCGCTGAGAGAATTTCTGCGATTATTTGGCATTACTAGGGGATTGCTGGTATTGTTATTGTAAAATTGCTTTACTCGTGTCTCAAAAGAGAGAAATAAATATAGAGAGAATCAAGAGATTCACTTTTAACAATTTGCTTGCTTACACGAATATAAATCTAAACATTTTCTACATTTTCTCAGTAACTCACGGTTATTGTGTGCGGCGGTCGTTTTGCGCGTAAAAATACGGCGGAGAATATTAAGGAAAATAACAACAAATAATATCTAAAATAATTAAAAAGAAAAGATAATATGATTAAATATTTGTGTAAAAAATGTCAAATAAAATAAAATGTATATACATATATTTATATAATTATATATAAATAATATTTTTTTAAGTGAAATATAATTAAAACAAATATTTTGAAGTAATTGTGTTACATACGCACATACACAAATTATTATACATATATATAAGGTGAGAGTGAAGTCAAAAGAAGAGGCAGTGATAGAGTAAAATGAAAATAGAGCCCGCAAATCAAATCAAAATTTGTGAAATGAGAATGTGAGTGCGAAAATGCTTTAGCACAAGTACACAACACACACATCAACACAGGCATACAGAGCACTAATTAAAATCAATTTAATTCAATACGAAAAAGAAACGTATGTAGATAAATCTGTTCCACTAATCGGTAAACGTACATGCGTACGTACGTACGCATTTGCCTATGGAAATTAATGCAATTTTGTGGCTTTTAATTGCTCGAAGGTAAAGTTTATTAAAAGCGGCTAAAAATAACTTCAAAATAAAAATATGCAAAAATATTTATTTAAAGAAATCTAAAAGCATTTAATTGCACGCACTGTGCAATGAATGGAATTTAAAAAGTGTTTTTTTTCCTCTCTGCGAGTAAAGTTATTTGTGTATTTACGTAAAAATATTTGGGAGAATAAGGAAAGTGTAGAAAGCTGATTCGTTTATGTTTGCGTAAGCGTATCGGGGATATACGTGTGTTTGTATGTCATTGTGCGTATTGAGGTCATTCATCAGCAACATCATCGTTTGGTTACGGCTGACTTGACAGCACACATTCAAGCATAAAAAAAAAATAGAAAACAAAAATTTGATGCTTTATATTTTTTCGATTAATGACATTTGTTGCTGCTGTTGTTGACTGCATCACGAAAATAACAACAAAGGTAGATTTTTTTTTTTTATGCTAATACAAATATATTTCAAATATATAATAATCTACGTGCGTAAAGGTATCTATATTTTTCTTGTGATGGCGCTGTATCATATACATGGTTTCGGATATTCCGCGTTAGAAAGCAGGTGTCATTTTATTTAAACAAAAAAAAAAAAAAAAAACAAAAGATATATAAAGAATTAAACTATTCGTAATTGAGAAAATAAAAAAAGAGCCGAGAAAACATATTGTGCATGCATTCAAATGCTTATGAGGCAAACAAAAGTGAAAATTTTATCCGAAATTAACTTTAATACCCCTGAAATTACACGGTCATGCATGCCGTTGACGAATACATTTGTTTGTGTGCATGTGTATGTGCGTGTGTTGAATTAAAAATTTATAATCATAACCAGAAATTCCACTACACCAAAAAGTGAAAGAAAACACACAACTGCAAGCATACATATTTATATATATATATATATGTTTGAATTCTTTTCCTACAAACAAAACTGCTCATTTGTTCGTATTAACGGTCGCGCGCGCGTTCTCTCTATCTCCCATTCTCTCATTCATCGCTTGGACTCTCAAGATTGGTGTAAAATGCTACAATAAGCTTCTGTTTTTTTTTTCTAAAGGTGTGTGTTTCGTTGATATACTCGCATAGTTATTTAGTTAGACTAACTTTTAAAAACTAAAAATATATATTTTACAATTAACTTTTACTCTACTCACCTACTTTCTATTAAAAATGAATTCTACTCCCCTTTAGAGTAAGATATTATCGTTTAAACGTTTATACATTTAACGTATACTAATTTATTATTATTATTGCTATAGTGCATCTAGCGTAGCATTGCATTTTTCTATAAAACATATACAAATACCTTTTTCTCTCATCACTTATCTATGGTAGATTTTTGTTTTTGGTATTGCCTATTCTCTTTTTATAGCGGTGTGCATAGTTCTCCCTCTCATTCTCTTTCTCTTTATTTATCTCGAAAATTGTAAAACGACTTACTTGCAATTGATTTCTGCAAATGCAATGCGTTTAATTTTCTTGCTCTTATAGTGTATAGAGAAATTAGGTAAAAAAATCAAAAAAAAAAAAATTAATAAAAAAATAAAAATACAATGTGATATCGAAAATCGAGAAATAATCATCGTCATCAATTATAAATGTGCATAAAACAAAAAAAAAAAAATTTGCAACTATTTTAGCCGTTATTTATCTGATAAATTGTGAATGTTTATGGAAATAAATTATATTTGTTAAAGAGTTGATTATGCATGTGTATACATACGTGTTCGTTCCTGCATATATTGAATATAAAGTTATTTGGTAAACAAAAATGTGCATTGTGTTAAAAGTGTGTCAAGTGTATTTAATGGGATTACAAATTAATCTCTCCCTCAAATCTTTTGTGCTCACACTTAATACTCAGTGCGTGTTGGTTTTCATTGACTACAATAAGTGTATAGTGCGCTGGAAATATCAGTGTGTATTTGCTTGCGGGGTTCATATTAAATTACATTTGTAAAGCTGTAAATCTTTTTGAATTATTTGGACATTTATATCAATTAGAATGAATTTGTGTATGTGCGTGCGGGTTTTGTTGATTTTTTCAGGCTTATTATTGGATTATTGTCGTGTGCTATGAAAATTGCATAAACAGGTGTAGACTTGGGATAGAAAAATGTAAATTTTTTTTCCCTGTGTTTATAAACGTTAGGAAAATGTCTAAATTTGAGGTCAATTAAGTGTAAAATTCTCATACAATTATCTTATCAATTGTTTACATTAAACTTTCTGACCCGAATTAATGCAACGGTTACGTAAATAATTGAAATATAATTTTTTTCTTCTTCTTGTTGTTGTTCTTGTTGCATGTTCATAGCTTTTATCATTGCATTGTTTCTCATTGAAAATCGATATCTATTTTAGTTCGTAATTAATAAGTAGAAGTATTGGGAAAAGAGTAATTTCGAGGTGAAAGGTAACCTTTACATTAATCCGCAACACGTTTCAAAACAAATCAAATGGCGTGTCTTTTAAGCGTATTTCCTGATATCTTCATTCAGATATGATAGGTAAAAATGTAATATTTAAAGGATTGAGTTATCTACGCAAAAGCGTAAATAATCGCCTTAGGACCCAAGCAATGCAGAGTTCAGTACTGTTTAGAAATGGGAAACATCACTCTAACAGCCTAAAAAAGAAAAACGCATTTTTGACAATTTTCTTGAATAGAATATTATGGAAAAATAATTGAAAGTAGCAGAGCAGCAATTTTTTTCGCTATGCTTTCTTAGTGCAAAGGGCTTCGTGATCTACGTTTTCTTTTTTGATGCAAATTTGTGTGTAAGAAAGTGCATTTAATTTACATCGTTACGGTTGTACGTCGGGGACTTTAGAAATGTTGAATTTCATTAGCGAGTGTTAGAGAGAAAAATTTCAATCTTCAACCAAAAAAAATCCACTTTTTTGTTAATAAAAAAAATAAATTAATTTGTTAACGGTATTTTAAAGATACTGTAAAAAATTTCGAATAAAATGAATGAAACTTGGCGACGCTTTTTCGTGGTCGAAAAATCATGTTTTGAGATGAGTGCGCTTAAAGCTTTAAAATATGTTTTTTGTACATGATTTGTCTTATTTTTCTGTAGCTCCAAGACCGTTCAAATATTTCTTATATCTCATTTTCTTTCCTTAACGATTCCATCTTTTAAAGCGGGCCTGTTTCGCTTTATTTATCAACGGTGAAATTTTTCATGTTGTTACAGAAGGGTTGGAAGTTTTCTAATAGTTATTAGTCCCATATAACATCAACGGTTGCCTCACTGAAGCTACACTAACATGTTTTTGTTTCAAAAGGTTTTCAAATACATGTAAATACTTTCTAAAGATACCTATTTCCGCATTAGAGAAGCTAGAAGTCAGCAGGTAAGACATTTGGCTCCAAATTTCCTGTAGGAGTTCATACATTTCACAATTCTCTTTCCTCGCTTCCCTCTCTCGCAGCGCTTCATGGGGTTTCAAGAAAAAAATTTCTTTTGAATTTTTTTCTACTCATTATAGATGGCCCAAAGGATTTAAGGTAGAGAGCGTGAAAAAGTTTCAATCAATTATGCTCGGAAAGTTGTCAAACAGACCTATTTAATATTAATTTTATCATTACATGAAGCTTTCTGCAAAAACAAAATGTACCTGCAATTATTGTCCCTGAAGGTGTGATGTCATCTGATGTTTATTACAAAGTATGATGTAACTCGCCTAAGGCTATTTAAAAAAGAAACAAAAGTGAATACATTGTAATGGAACACGGCCGCCCAATTAAATCCCCTACACAATTTCATTTAATAAAATTATTCATACAACGACTTCTCAAAATAAGGTGTAAGGTAGAGTGATTCGATCCAACCATTTTCAATAGGGTTCGTCCTTGGTCCAAAATATATAGGTTGATCGAATCTCATCAAAATGTCTTAAAAATTTTCTATCTTAGTAGATTGAGCACTTGAAAACAACATGGACAGAAGAACCGACAGACTTAGATATATTCAGAAAGTGATTCTGAATCGACGGTTATAATCGAAAGTGAGCGAGTTTGTGGGTGTTACATACATGTGCACAAACTCAATATATTCTTATACAATAACTAGTATAGGGTATAAATATTAAAAGTTTTTTTTTATTATTCGAGTCATTCGGATAAGTGGATCTCAATTATTCCACAATATTCATAGACATGTATTAGGCGTATAACTTTCTTTCCGCCGTTTTTTCTTTCCACATCCGAGACTTTATTGTAAAGAACAAGTTGTACACTTACTATTCGATACACAGTTTTTCGTTAGGCCCTATTTCTGCTATCTTTTAGAAATAATACGAATTCCGTAAGGATATAAGGATTGATCTTGTAAAGTTATCCAGAAAGTACTCCACGCTTGCATATTTTCATAAAAGGTAATGCATCGTTCAAACAAACAACTCCTGATCTATCGACATACGTACTAAACGGAACTATATCCACAGAACTATATCAATTCCAAGAAAATTTTATACGCCAGTACTTTCAAGTTAAAAAGTCACAGTTGTATTTAGCAGTCTATAGTGTATTTACACTATGTCATAAACTGTAACCAAATACTTGTATTAGAGATATTCAGGGCAAATATAGTTTTTCCCAAATTACCTTAAAAGAGCTGCTAGAGTGTGAAAAGGGCGTATTTCTTTATTGTTAGCTATAAATCTTTTAAACCAAACACTAATTACTTAATACTAGTGGGTTCTCTATATAACAACAAGGAGATCCGAAAATGATAGGTAGAAAGAAGGAAAACAATGGTAAGCCGCACTAATGTAGACAATCCCTTTGTTATGATAAAAGCAAACATAGTTTGCTTCAGTAAAGGTGTCTGCTAAGATCATTGCCTTAAATTAGCGGTGTCGAAGGAGTGACGGACATTGTCGGCACTGAGGGATTTGTTTAATTAAGACGCTCCGTTGAGCGTCGCAGAGATTACATTACAAGAGCCGGAAGACCCATATTTACTTTATGCGAATGTCCATCTTGCTGATCATGAATTATGCAATTTTTAAAAAATTATTTTTTTTGTGTATGTAATGTTGACTATTCGTTCACCTTCACTCAGCAAAACGCATCATATTCGTGTTTAAGCAACAAAGGCACAAAAAGGCGAACTAAGCTCAGAATTTTATGCTGTAATTCATTGGACATCTGATGGCTATCGGTGGACGATGCAAAGGTCAAATCTCGCATATATACTAATCCCTTGTTGATGGATAAAAAATATTACCATACGTTGTTCCTGTTCATTGTTTGCGATGTCTTGAAATTCCTATTATATGTGTATAGAACTCTACGTTAATTTTAATTGTTGTATTTTTAAAGTCAAGCGAATGAATAGCAATATGACTTGTCGTTTGAACATATTTTATAAGTAATGAACCTTTTTTTTTGTAGCGGAAAGGAAATCCATTGTACAGAATTATAACTAGACTCATGCTATTTGCATAATGTAACAATGTATCTTAAATTGAAATTATCAATGGACATATTCAACCATACATAAGGGAATGAAAAATCACGACATCTCGTTCACGGCGTTTTCATTCTTTTCTAATGAAGCGAGCGCACAGTATCATTGAAATGTTTATTAAAAAATTTTCGTTTGATAAAAACATAAAACACCAAACCATCATTACTTAAAGAAAGTAAATTTTTTTTTTATCGTGAAATCAAAGTAAATTGACAGACAAGAACAAACAATCAAAGAAACAAACCAGCAAAAAGCAATATCTGTCACTGACATATTGTCAATTCTTTTAATGAATTCAAATTCAATCAAACAACCACCAAACAACAAAGAAATCTCTGGTATTCAACACCTTTCAAGTTTGAATCGAATCAAAACTCAAAAGTACTTGAAATTGTCAACACGTACATACTTTTTATAAAAGCGGAGATAATCATTATTATGATTTCATAAGCTGGGATATTTCAATGTTACGGTGAGGTTTGCTTTCATTAGAACATCCTTTTTAGCGAGGCTGAAACGGGGGGGGGGCCCGGGGGCGGGTGAGAAAAAAAACCGAATAGAAACAATAATAATAATAATGACAACAACAACAATGATAATAGAAATAAAGAGCAGATGATCTAATCCACCACTTGAATAAGAATGTATATATGTGCGTGTATGTATGCATATATGTAATGCAAAAACCGACAACCACTTGTGTGTCCCTAGCAGACAGGCTCATGTTCAAATACCCACGTAGTCAATTGTCACTCCTTAAAATAACACAAAAGATAAACCGAAAATGAAACGATTGAGATAACATAACAAAGCGTAACGGCAACAACAACAACAACAACACCAATAATAATAATAACAGCAAACGAAAGCAACAGAAACAATAGCTGAGTAGATATCTATAAGTTTTCAGTATCTGTCAATATGTATGTTTGGAACCCACATCACAGACATTCCTTTCAGTTAACATTTTTCTATTAACACCAAACCGGAGAATGGAATTCAAGAAAGCAAAAAGGAAAAAGATGTTATGTCAATTTTTTTTTGTATAGAATTTTTTCAAAAACATCCATAAAATTTAGCTATCACTCGCCGTTAAAGATGAAAGCGTGACATTTATATAATCTAAGGTCTCTCTCTGTTCCTTTGTCTTCTTTTCACTCTTCCTATTTGCCGATCTGACCGTTTGATGAATATGAGTAAACACATGCATGTTTTGCTATTGCTTAGGCATTAGAAATGTTTTTTTGTTTTTTTTTTTGTTTTTTTTTAAATAGTTTTTAATTTTAAGGTGTGACGAATGAGCCGAAAAAAGAGGTCTTCAAAAAGTCACAAATATTGTACGGATTTTGTGTTCATTAGAAGGATTATGCGGAGGAATTAAATTTCATGTTTGTTGTTTTGTTATGCTAAAGTTTAACGTCCCTTTCTTAGGTTTTAGGCGGCGCTATTTGAGTAACACAATTGGATTTCGTTTTGTTTGATTGAGCGTATTGAAGAAGAAAATTTTCGAATTTTAAGAAAGTAAATAATCTCAGGTATTTATTTTTGTTCACCAAGCGGCTTAGTGTAGACGAGATATTTTTTTTTTAAGTCACTACGTTAGTAATAGTCAATCTTATGCTAAGGATATAAATACTAAATCGGAGTTAGTGCGTAGACGGTTTTAATACCACATATACAGGACGTACATATTTCAAGCTGGGATTTTTGGCAATAATAAGCAGTCGTCGTAACACCAACATATAATTTTTCTAATCCCAAACGGTACAGAAGAAAGCATTTCTCGCATTATATTCCAACTGAGGATGAAAATTGGATTTATTTTGACAATCCCAAATTCTTTGCCTTTAATTGACTATCAGTCGTTGCATTAAAAACTAGGCAACGTTTCATGTTTTAGTTGAGCCTAACGGTAGATTATATTATTTATAAAATATACTTAACATTCGTATAATTTAACATTGTTTTTTACAACAAAGGGAATTAACTGATTGTTAACAACAGCATTGCAGAAAAAGAAGAAGAAGATAGTTAAGATGTGAAATAATTAAATTCATTTTTTCTAATTCTAATCCTGATCTAAGTATTTTTCGTTATTTATCTAAAAATTTTTATTCATTAAATTAAATTAAATTAATTTTTTTGATTTTTTTGTTTTCAGAATTTATAATAATTCTTTAGTTAGCAGCGTTCTAACTGTAACCATTTGAAGAATCATATATATAAAGTATTAATATGGCAGCAGCAAGTGCTGGGCATCAGCAACATCAACCGCAGCCACAACAACAGCAAAAATTGAATACTGCTGTTGGTATAAATGGTGGCGCAGTGATTGGTAGAACGACACCAATGCCACCGGCAATTCATAATATGCAACAGCAACAGCACTTAATGCAACAGTATGCTTTAAAGCAACAGCAACAACAACAGCAAGCGTATGGTATGCAACAACATCAACAGTCACATTATGTTATAAATCAACAACACAGTCAAATGCAACATTTTCCGCAACAGCAGCAACATCAAATGCATTTTAAAATGCAACAACAGCAACAAGAACAACAAGAAATGCTAAACAATCATCATATGATGGCGACATCGCCAACAGCTCACCACATAAACCAACAAACGCAATCACAGCCACAGCAAACACATCACCAAAATCATTTAAATCCACAACAACAACAACAACAACAAAATAAATTTCATAATAATATCGCATATGGTACAACGCAACAACAACAACACCAGCAGCAGCAAGTGCAACAACAACAATCACAAAGATTAGTATCATCACAGCAAATAAGTCAACCATCACAACATATATCAGGAGCTACGGTAAATGGGAGTAACGTAACGTCAAGAACTCCTTCACTGATTGGCCCGAATGCTTATCAGCAACATAATGGCAATATGATGTCAGCGCAACAACAACAACAACAGCAGCAGCAGCAACAACAACAACAAGAACAGCAACATCATCATCATCATCATCCTCATCATCTTAATCATCATCATCACCATCAATCGCAACAGCCACAACATCAATGGCATACACCGCAAATGACACAAAATTCAACGTCAATGCAACAAATTCAACAACACCAGCCATTAAAAGCGAATGTAAATAATTCAACAACGGCATTAAGCTCAAGGTCGCCCTTAAGTAATGCAACCAATGTGAACGCGAACACAATTGAAAGCGTTGCTAAACAACCAAATATTTCAATACCTAACAATGACGGCAATTGTAATTCCACTAACCATCATAATAATCCGAATTTAAATACAACTGAAATAAAAATTCCTGCTGCAAAAGGCAATAAAGCCAATTTGGCACCCGGCTGGCGTAGACTGACCAACAACAATGAAATTGTTTACGTCAGGTAAGTAATCAGTCTTTCTTTATATTTCGTCATATGGTGAAATTAATTGTTCACTTGTATTCTCGGGAAAAAAAAAAAAGTTACCCTCCATGCTTTCGGTTAAACTTGTTGGGGGATTAAATAAGAAGCATTTTTCAAGACAGAATTATAATAATAAGAAGAAAATAAACATTATAATAGGTTTAGATTTGTTAGAAAACTCTGTAAACTGTATTATTGACCTTTTGTGCGTCATATTGTTGGTCTGTGTGTGTGTTAATAATAATAATAACACAATAATCTTGCATAATGAAATGATTATTTATTAACATAACACAGTAGTAGGCCAGCGGCAGCAGCAGCAGCAGCAGTAGCAGCAGCAACAACAGCAGTACTAGGACTAGGAAAAAGTGTAGAAAAACTCAAGCTAGCAAGGCGAATTATTAATATGGTTATGGTTGCCAAGTTCTTCCATAAAAAATATTTTATTATGTATTTGGTTTTTGTGTTTCCGTTTTCAAAGGTTTCCTGTATTTGTTCGAGATTATATCCTTTTTGGCTTTTATGGATTTCTATAAAAAAATTCTATATATTTTTTTTTTTTGCTCTTTTGTTTATTTTTTATTTAGTATGCTTAACATTTTAATGAAACCATATAAAAAAAAAAAAAAAAAAAATCGAACCTATTGCTGCTTTCCCCATCTCGTTTGCAAGAAACGAATACTAGTCAATGCATACACGCATATGTATATAGGTAGTAATATAAGGAACAGACGACCATAACAATTCAATTGCGTATGGTTTTCTTCTCATCGCTGTGTTAACCGTAACCCATAAAGGGTTTCTTTGACAGTGTAATATGCATAAATTTTTGGGGTTGAAATACGTAAATTTTTCATCATAATATATGTTTGTTTTTTTTTTCTTTTTCTTGTAACTTTGTGCTGTTATTATTGTTTTTTCTTTTTTCGATTTTTTTTTTTTTTGTTTTTTTTTTGTTCAATAATACTTATACATGGGTTTCTCGTAGTCCTCACGTCACACATGTAATGTATTTCTTTTATGAATTTTTCCACTTGTTTTTTTTTTTCTTTCTTTCCTTTATCCTTAGTTTGTTCATCCTTTCGTTCTTAGTTTAATTTGAATTTATTTTATTTTCACTCCTTGTAGCTTGCCTGCAGGTTGTTTGTTTTTTGCGTCATTTTTTTATTTATTTTCTTTCAATCTTGGTATCGTTATTGTTTGTAAAATAAATTTTGCATAAATTTACCGGAAGAAAAGCCATATAAGTAAATTTTATGGTTTATAAATGTCAAAAGAATTTATTAGCGTAATGTCGAATCAATTTACATGATATAAATTTAAAAAAAAAAAAAAAAAACATACATACATAATTTATTAATAACATGAATAGTCTTTATTGACCTTCTCTTAACTTTGTTTGCAAATTCTTTATTACATTGTGAAGTAGGAAGCGAAAAGAAAGGAGGGAACCCTTTGGCACCCTTTCACCAAAAATTAACAAAAAAAAAAAAAGAAAAGCTCAAGGTGCTAACCTTTAGAGTTTTTTCTTATGTTTTTACGAACGGAGAACGGAAGTTCGTTGTATTCTCTTAAATATCCTAAGGTAGGGCATTCCAAGTTCTTGTCGATAAAGTATTCTGAATTTATAATCATTGCAAAAAGTTCACGGCACTAGTTCGCGACTTCGATTATACCTATATATGAATTGAATCAGTTTATGTTGCTCGACATTAAAAACAAATTCAACAATAGCTGGAGATTATAAAAAAGTCGCTATAGCAAGCAGAGACCTTACAGTTAGTTGCATAGTTTTCTCATTAATTTCTTAAAGTCGTTTCGCTTCCTTTCGACGATATATATCGTTTTTTAGTTGTTGTTTTATAAAAGGATTAAAGCATATTTATGCAAGAAACCACTACATAGACAGATATGTTTGTTGCATCCCAGACATGTATATGAATTTCATATCCACGTACTTTCTGTAAATATTCTTAGCAATCATTATGTGTTTCACGTCTATTATGCGATAAAAACTCTCTTAGCTTAGGCTAAAATCAAAGGTTACAGTGAAAGTTTTCGTTCCTTTCTTGAGGCTAATTTTGTATCTGCTTGTAATGATTCTTTTTGTTTTTTTTTTTGCTTTGTTCATGATGAATGCGCGTCAGTGAATTGCGTTTCTGCCACGTGGCTTCACGTGAACGATGGAAATGCGACATTTACAATATCTCCATGAATTTTTCCCTTGGCATACGTTTTATTTATATAGGATTTTCTGTTGAAAACAGCGACATTTTTTATAATGGTTTTCTAATTGTGAGAACATTTCTGAAATTGTACGTTGTTGTTTCCTCATTTGGAATGGATTTACTTTAATCAAAAAAAAAAAAAAAAAAAAAAAAAAAAAAAAAAAAAAAATGCATTATTACGAAACAATTTTGATTGACACTAAGATACATTTATTGTGAGTTGATAAAAAGACGACATGAACTTTATGTTAATCCGCAAAAAAAAAAAATTTGATTTTATATCGTTAAACGCTTCAAAATTAGGGTGTTGCAAGCTGACGGTTGGTGTTACCGCACCCGGTATATTCCGTGCCTTCCCAACGTAAGCTTACCTTTTAGATATCCAGCGATTGGCATTTACCAGAAATTACCATAACGTGATTTTCATTGTTCGAATATACAGCAATAACACGGTTCATTGAGTTTTCATTCCTAATAAACGTATTCAATATACTAACTACACTGCATTCAGTTATACAGCTTCTTATGTAATTTCCAACACTTTCTTATCTCATATTACTTTCCTTTTATTAGTTCAATTCGATAAGCTATGCAACACCAAGGCTGTGACAATGTCAACAGATTGACCATGTATGCTAAATGGCAATCATTTTACTGACTCTCACGCTTTTCATACCGAAAATAGTTGTAGAAGTTATTATCCCATACATTACGGCATGGTAATCTGAATTTCGGTATTATTCTGTTGTTTCGAATAACAACCTAAATAGCCCATAAGCCGATAGCTCCTAAATATTTATTACTTACTTTGATCCAGATGGGTTAACTCGCTACTGTCATTACTCATTCCTTGATGGCTCATCTCATTTCACTTGAATAGTTTGGCGTTGCCACTCTTTGTAATGATCTTACCAGGACTCAGCTTATGTACTACGAATGCGAGAATTCTACTAACTCCATAACGTCTTTTATCCTCTTTACTATAAACTCAGCCGACTCTGAATAGGTTAAAACTAGGTGTGGGATTAAAACAAGTCAGTGTTAGTTACATGTATTCTTTTGACAAACAGACTTATCCCTATTTTCAAGCCAATAAATCCCTTACTGATATTTATCTAGGTTTTGTTCAGTAATTAACAATCAATAGAAGATTTTTGGGTATAAGATTTAAATATGGTGCGGAAAATGGGCTATTCATACGCTTGCAATTACACCAAGCAGGACAGATTTTCATCTCATGTAATCTCTTAGTGAAGGTCTCATTTGATTGAAGCAAACAATAACACATGTCGTCCAGCTGACACCTCCAAATTATCCAGGAATTGGGTTCTTGAGTTCAATGTAATATTAAATGCACCTAAAAATATATTCGATTGGTTTCGAAAAAACTCATGATCCGCCCCCTGATCCGCCTGAGTGGCCGAAGGCGAGGAATCTCGACTGGCAACTCAAAGGTCGTGGGTTGAAATCTCAAGTGCCGTAGAGTTTTTAATAAAGCCGAAAGCCTTAGATGCTGGCGCTTTAAGACTTTAGTCTTAGAATTCATTCTCTGGCTAAATTTATAATAAAAATAATAATATTCTTCTCCCATATTTACAAAACAAGTAAAAAATATTAAGAGAAATCTAAAATCCGTTATTCTGATGATATTGTTCTTCAATACAATTACATTCAAAATTGAGGTTGATATCTGTTTTTTTTTTTTTTTTAATTTGTTCCAATTTGTTTATAAACTATTTGAGTAAGAATTCTTAAATATTTTTTCTATGGAAATCTTTTATTATTCATAGACATTTTGTGTTTATCTTATCTTATTATGCAAAGTACAATATCTGTCTTGCAAACAATTGAACGAAAAAAAAGAAGAAGAAAAAAGTAAAGAAATCTTTGTTTTATTCTACTTAAAATAAATATATTGTTTCTTTTCTTTTACCTTTTTATAAAAAAAATATTCAATGTTTTTAAAAAAAAATTTTTTTTTTTTTTTTTTTTTTCAAAATTTATTTCATTTTAATAAAGATATTGCGTATGCCTTGAATAAAAACATCGTTCATGTCGCACATATCGAACATAATAAACATAATAATATGTGAACACGCGTAAGCATGATATCTCCTTAAGCGAATATAACATATGCTCGTCCAATAAATATAAATAATAATAAACAACAATTTAAACATCACAAGAACAGCATAAGAGCAATAAATAAACATTAAACAACGCACATCATACAGAGAAGAGAGTATAAGTTGTATAGCGTTACAACCACAAATATAATAATAAATAATCAAACGAATGCTATCAAAACTTTATATAAAACCTCAATGACAATCACAAGTATCTGTTTAATGCAAATATTTATATATATGTTGGATAACAGTTATCGTCGTTCGTCCCATTCGTTCATTCGTATAGTAAAGTAAGTAAGATTAACAATAATTACACATAACATGCATAAGTAGGATGGTTGGCTACTTGACTTCAAGCTACATACGATTACATAGCCTTAGGCATCTCCTATATAAACAATTTCTTATATGATATTCGCTTTATCGTATTTGTTGTTGTATTCTATCTCTTCTATATTTGTTGTGTATGTTTGTTTGCATTGTTTTCTTAGATCATCGTGTGGACAAATATGTACAAAATTTTGTTTATGATTTCTATTTAATTTATACGGTCTGCTATTTGTCTACGTTTTTTCATTATGATAACATTTCATTCGCATCTGTATGTATACAAAATACTTAC